GTGTGGTCAGCCAACTTCACTTGGCTTCATTCAACACGGACTGGCACGGATCAGCATGGTGCCTGCTGTCAGGTATGACGTTCTAGGATATGAGATGAGATAGATTGTCCCGATTTGGACGTCCATGTTTTGAAGAACCAGTCTAGGTAAAGCAATCTTTGGGGTGCTTGGGTGGTAGAAAATGTCTTGAACATTCTTGAACACGTTCTCTGGAAATCTTTCACAATAAGTATCAAGATCCACTATGAGTCAAGACGTTTGTCACTTGCAGAGCCACTTGGTCGAGTGAATCCGACTGAAGGGCTTAAGCGAGAACCGCCATGCTGCCATGCTTGCTTGCTGCGAAGTCGAGATGGTCGCTCAGTCCACAGGGTTGATCTGAAAGTGTGCCTCCCTTTCTTGCCTCATGGGGACCGAGGTTTGTTCCAGTGTCCCGATATGTCCTGAACCTTTCTTCAGATACCAGAAGCCTGAAAAGAACATCATAGGAAAATCAGCCGAAGGCAGCATCGTGCGAGCTATTTGATGCTGTTTTGTAAGCGAAAACTTCAAAGAACGGCGACAAATCACAAAGCCTGATGGGCAAAGCCGGAATCGTGTTCCGGAAAGATGGTGCCACCGGTTTTCTCTTGCTTACAGTGGCCAAGTCCGTTGCTGCACGATGTTGCATTGTTTGGCTCTGGGTTTTGCACGTCGGGATGCTTTTGGATGCTTTTGGGGGGTCCGGATCCGGATGCTTTTTCGATTCACCTCGAGCTGTTGTATATGTCCACCCAGTATTTCCACCATACAGTTTGCAAATGTCTTTCAAATGTCGTTAGCCGGCCGACACAACTCGACCTGCAAGAAGCTTGGCCAAACTGATGCAGATTAGGCACTTCCGGCTGTTGGCGATTAAGAGAGGTCATGGCATGACGGTGAGAATTCTCGAATCTCTGAAGTGTTCATCCCTTTGCCAAGCGCCTTTGTTTGTGTGGAACACAACCTGGAACACACCCCAGATGCTCGACATATGGGAAAAAACTACATTGATCCCAGGTCAACCACCCAACTTGTATATGCATAGGTCATTCATGGAGTGTTTGGAGTAGATGTACCTCCGCCAGTCGTCCACAGTGTTGCTTGATCTGAACTGCTCTTTTTCTGACAAAGCTCTAGACCAGAGCCGAATCTGTTCAGATCGCAGATCTGCTGAGAAAGCCCCAGTACATTTCTGGTGACCCCAAAAGGACATACCTCTATACTTCAATGTGCAAGATCTAGTCCTTGGACTTCCAGGTTCCAGCAGAACTGCCTGCACTGATGGGAACAACAATCAGCAAATGGGCCCTTCACGGCTCGAAAAGGTGGGCGTTTGAAATTGCCACCGCGGGTACCGCTGAACTGCCCGTAACTGGGCGCCGCTACTTGGCCCAGTTCACCAGAGCAACTGCTTCTTGGACCAGAGGAACCTCAGCCCGTGGCAGAATGGAGAAGCGAAGGGTCAATGGAACGAAGAACGGGATCGGACCGAATGATCAGTGTAGTTCTTGTGGCCTCATGTCTCGGCACAAATCCTCGCCACAAATCCTAGAGGATTTGGATCCTGTAGGGGATATTACTGACCAGGCCCCAACCAAAAGCAAACAACAATGGTTTGCTTTGCTTGGGATGCCTCGAGCCTTTCTGTTGGTCGGCAGCGGTGTTTGGTGTTTCGTGATGCTGACGTGATATATTGACTGCCGCATTTGAGAGGGTGGCAGGTCTATTTCAGCGGCCCAAGTTCCACACTTCATAGCCAAGTTCACCTCCAGTCCGTGCATGCTTGGCCGTCCATGGACTTGGCCAACCATATCATGTTCAGCCGTCCACGGACCGTGCAGGTTGGTTGACGTCAGTCCCGGACCGATCGGTAGGGAGAGGGTCTTCTGACCCAGACCATCCATGGAGGCATAACCCAGACACGACTAATGGGACTGCCATAGGACTGCCGATCAGGCCAGGGGTGGTGCCAGGGGGGTCAATGTAGGCATATATGACACACACGGAGTGAGTGTTTGAGTCATTCTATTACTAGTTATATATACTCCATATACATGGATGGCTTGGGTCATGATCATGAGCACCAGCATGGTTTTTGGCCCATGGAACATTACATCATCGAACTGAACATTGACCTTTCCCAGCACTCCAAGTGTGGAATAGTTGCTAACATGGATGGGTCAGCTAAATGTATGTACATTGGTTCAGAGCAGAGCGCGCTGGCACCCAGCTAGATGTCTTGAACAGATCGGCGTCCACCGGGGCGTACCATCGAACCGCTGAAACGTCGCCAGTTCCATGGATGCTTTGGGCTTCAAACCACCTCACCTGACACCAGTCCCACCCACCGGAGTGGGCCTTCGCTTCGGGCTGAGCTGAGCTTTGGGTCTTCTTTTCCGGTCCTCGGACCGAAGAAAACGTCGGGACGGGGTCAAATCGCAAGATGGAGAAGTCCGAAGCAGTCACTGGTTTCGGGCGGATTGAAGCACGTTCTAGATTCTAGACCATGGTTTGTATTGGTTAGAGCTACAGACCAGACTCAGACCCCTCTTTTAATATAGTGCTTTGGGTTGAGCAAGTTTCTGGTTCAACCGGAGATGTGATTTGACCTGACCAGATGAATACATCTGAGGATTTGTTCCATTATTACTCTAACATCGGCAAGACTGCATCAGCCAAGACCGACCGCTGAGTTTCCGTCCAATGAGTCTGAGCTGTTGCCGTGTTGCCGCGATTGCTTCTTGCAGGGTTGAGCATCCTAAACAGGCTGCTCATGACCTGCGAATTCAATGGAATTCGCCGAAGGAGGCCGAGCCCTTTCCAACTCGCATCGGCAGATCCTTGTGATGCAGTGGTTGAGTTGAATGGATCAAGAGCTTTCCCACCAAAGCTCAGTTACACAGATTTAAAGCCAACTGGTGGTCATTTGTGGCGCCCGCCCGCATGTAATGTAGACTCTTGATCAATAATTTTCCCATCGCATGAAGAAGTTTTACGATGCAATTAATTGGATTTTTCGTTTTGATCAAGAGTCTACAATAGCAGTTGCACCAACTGACCATCCAATGGAACAACCCGCAGTTCATCCCCACATCTATATTGCTATGTACGTTCTGATTTCTGATGATGAACTGGACTCCCTCACAACTCATGGATGAGTTCCCCACTCTTGTCATGGTCTCCCTGTCGCGAGGTCCGCAGTCCATGTATCAGAGATGAGACCTTTGCTTACTTATTTCCAAATCTGTCCATGGGACTGGAATAGTTACACTTCCCTCATGAAGAGGACCCATCCATGATATACTTCAGTCCAGACGCTCTGTGTTGTCTGCTCGTTGTTCATGGTGAGTCAAGGGGGTTCGTTTGGGCCTTCGGATGCCTTCGGCGTTCGTGGCCAAAACGAAGAACTGAGGTTTCTTGAGGCGACCCGCGGGCCCATTGTTCTTGGTTTTGATTCGCACAGGTGAGAACATCACGGGCCCATTGAGTGACCGGTGTTGGGTGTTTTCGTCGATGATGCGAGACCCGCCGCGTGCCTCGTACGGCGAGGGTTCTTCGAAGAAGTCCAAGATGGACGACGGGTGAGTTTGCCCAGTGAGGGTCAGTGCTTGAGCACGTTTGAGCGATCTGAGGCTTTTTGTTGAGCGATCTGATTGGGGAGGAGAGTTTCACTGGGCGAACTTGCATTCTTGTTTGCCCAAGATAGCAGAGACCAAGCAACCTTTGGCAGCGCTCAGATTCCATGAGCAAACAAATAGCTCTCTCATGGCGTTGGATGTTCACACCTTGGGACGTCGGCTCAACAGCACGAAGGTCAGGTGCTCAGCCGCTATAGCCTATAGATAGTTGTTAGACTTTCCAATTTGGGTGGTGCAAATTGGAAGACCCGGACCTTACATCGAATGGACCGAGATGGTGAACTTCCGGCACCCATGGATTGATCCAACCGCCTGAGGGAGCCGACTCGTGGAGTCTGGGTGATCGGAAGGCCTTGCGGGTCCGAACCGGCCGAGCTGATGAAAAGAATGCCCAGAGGTGGTCAGGCCGGTGAGACCGGAAGTGACAAGGGCGAACTAAGTAAACCCAGAGGTGGTGGCATGGAAGAATGATATCATATAACGTGATTTTAAATCAGGACATCCCAGGGTCACATGATAAAACATCAATTAATAATAGTCCCTATAGGGCTCCAAGTACCTTCTTAGAAGGTGTTTGGGGAGGGTTTAGGTCCAAATACCTCGGACCTTTTGAGGAGGTACGACTGGAGCCCTAGGGGAGTGTTCAGGAGCGGGACATAGCGGGACCACCGTCCCCGGGAGTGGACTTCCGAGACCCGACGAAACCACCGGGCCGGTGTAGAGGAAAGCATCGTCGGTCCGGGCCACCAGTGGGGTCGGACCTGGTGTTCGTTTCCAGGTTCCATGTGAATCTCACACATCGGGTGTACACTTGGAATCATGGTTACCTGCATGGTCGTGGATGACCAGCCATTCCGATGACCTAGACCTAGGTGGTGCCATCCACGTAGCATCACGTAGCCATGAGGATTTCAGATATTTCAGGGAGTGTACCCCATGTACCCTGTTGGCTTGCTGTACTGTACGGGCACTCATTGAGCCCAGTCTTTTTGATCTCCTTTGTGCATATATACCCATAAGGCCTTGCCTTTTCTGGACCTGGCAGCGCCTGACGCATTGAATCCATCCATGCTGGCCTAACTAGCTCCAGTCCAGAGGGTGTTTTTGGGAATGCGGCCCCTCGACACGGTCCAAATGCGATGAGCGACGAGCTTCGAGGATGAAGAGAGGAGCGGGTTGAGGTTGAACCGCGGTATGTCATAGAAAAAGAATGAAAAGGATCCCTCAAACGCAAGAGACCTGGAGCATGCAAAGTCTACCGAAGTCACCGTACATGTGGTCGTTTTCATGGATCGAAGATAGAGGACCATCCACGGTGCGCGTTCGGTGCGCGTTCGTGAGGCTACTACAACTTTGCGCCCATCCACATTGGTGGAACGAAGCTGATTCTCGGCTGGAAAACCACCTGGATGGACGCCCCGAGCAGCAGGTTCTAGATTCGCTATTGGTGGCCACAGAAGCCTGTGGAAGTGAAAGGGGTCGGACCGGGTTTCGACCGAATTCTCAGGATATCTCAGGGTTCTATGGTCCTATACTTGTAGCTTTTAGAATACTCTGTTTTTTGGTTGGAGGCTATACAAGTACACGCCGTGAGGAAGTATAGAGGGCACGTGGTTTTGGATGACCACCATGCCGTCTATCTGCGGCACGTGGAAGACTCCACTGAGAGTGACGACGGATGACCGAGTGGTACCACTGGACCTGGGGATGATTGAGCCCGCAGGTCCTCAGATTTTTGGTTGAAAGCACCCAGCAGCTGAGCTGGTACATGGTTTCTATAATTACACATTATACGCTGTGTATATATATATATAAAGCTGGCAAAGAATGAGGCTCGCTTATGCTCTGGATTGTCCATGTTTCAACGTGCATGGTGTCTTTTTTCTTCAGAGATGGTGATTATTGGGGTGATCGACCTGGGGATGCTCATGCCATGGGTCATAGTTTTGGGGTGTTTTGGGGCTGGTATGACCCCAGCCAGAAAGAGAGAGAAAGCATCCCGTTCGCCGCACTCCTGAGTCCAAACGCGGCCGCCGGCCGTGCAAAGAGAACATAGTTGTCCGCTGATGGGGAGGAAGGAGCGAGTTCGGAACCAGGGTTATCAATATATATAGCCCCTTGAAACACTGAGGCGTTCGAAGCTATAGGGAGTTCCCCTTCAGCACTTGCTCGTTTAGGAGGGGCAAATCTGTTGGCTGGCTTGGGGGATATTGGGCCGCCAGCTTTCATTTTGCGCACAAGTTCACAAGCCATCATCCGATGTGAGGATAATATGCCTGCAAAGTACAGTTGACGGTGATTGACTTCACAATGGAACTGCTTGGATCATTCGTCGCCCCAAATCCTGGAAGCCGGCTTTCACCTGAGCTGCTCAGGATGTATTTGAAGTTCAAGCATTTCATCAGCAGCATCGACTTCCTTCAAGTGGAACCTGGCCAGTCAAGGCAAGTTCGAACCCCTCCTGGCCACTTGGGTGGTTGAAAATCGATGAAAATTGGCTTCAGCTGCGGCGGTGTGTTGAATGGCGCATCCGCGTGCCGTTTGCTTCGTTCCTGCATCAAGGTGAGGGAGTTTGAAGCATCGATCTAATTTTGGCCTTTCAGCGAATCGAGGGACACCTGAGGTTCTGGAATGCTTTGATTGAAGTAATACGTTTAGCACATCTTAGCCATACGTTTTGGCAAGGTGGCTCGGAACCCGTCAGCCGTTAGCCGGCCACTTCTTGGTTTGTTTGGCGCGCAACTTTGACCATCGGCGGCTTGAGACTCTAAGCGCAAAGAAACATACATGTTGAATCATGTTGAGAACACCCCAGCAGGACCATCAAAGGGGTCACCCATAAACAATGCATCCTAATTGAGTGGATGGCACAATCCCCAAAAGGTGGTTTGTATGGAACCCCATCTATGGAGATCTAAGGGCATTTTTGGGTCTGTGCCTACTCTGACTCTGACAGCCACTTTAAGTATATCTTCCACCGAACTGACGTGAAACTGTGCTCGCCAAACCAGGCAGTGCCGAGGAGTTCTGCAAACGGCATCCGCACTCCAACGGCTGCATCTACCGTCGCCTCGATCGGCGCCTCGCCGCGATCGTGTGAGGAATGGAGTGAGCTTTTTTTTGTGTCGGAGCAGGTGGAGTGAAGATCGGCTAGCGAGTGACTTGGTGGTGGTTTTAGATTGGGGACGTTAGAATGTTGATGAGTGAATAATGATTATTTTAGAGTCTTAGAGACTTAAGTGGCTCATTTTGCTTTTTCTCGTTCGTGCCGGGGCATAACCAAACAGATCAGTTTGCGAGACACCTGGATCACTTTGGGAAACATGGCTATATAGTCAGGTTCAAGAAGCTTGTAGACCTGGAGGGTTCATCGATCACAACCAAGACTTGCAAGATTGATTCAGACCTGACTTCAACGCAAAGCTCCGACAGACCGACAAAATCCTTCATTATATAACTGCAGGTACCTCCGCGGAAAATTACTTCGATCTGGAAAGCCAAGTCTCATTTCATCTCATTCCTACCCCAGTGGATCCCGTTACCACTACAGTAGGCAACCAGCGGTTCCAAACAGTTCCAAAGGCTAACTATAGACCTAGAAAGATCGAGTGGAGAGAAAGACCACATCACAAAGATCAAAACCGGAAGCCGGCCAGCTGGATTTCCATGTCAGAGTGGCTGCCTAGTTCTGTGGCGAGTTCCTTTGGTATCCAACTATTCCAGTCGGGATGTCGGGATGTCCCAGCAATCTCCTACCGGGTACGGTGTGACGGAACAGAGTTGGCAGGGTTTTCACCTAGTGTTTCTTGGTTTTTGCTCCAGTTGCACATCCCTTTAGGTGTAGACGGGCCTCTCCGGGTGCTACACTCATGGTCCACAGAGAGCCTTCATCGCTCTCAGGAGCTTATTGGATCGCCTGGGCTTTGAAGACTTCCGGGAACTCATCGGCGGTGTGCTCAACATCGGAGCACGCTGGGTGTGACGGCGAGTGGTTGGAAGGGATGGTGGAGGCTATGCCTATGCCTGTGTGAGTTTGGTGCGTTGAGAACTGCTGATGATCCGGCAGAGGGCACCCACATGAATCTCCTGACACAGAGCTCAAGACTTGTGTAAAGTATAAAGATATGTAAAGATGTACACAAAAGGGAAGATCAACATGTCTCATACCGTCGGTTTGATTCAGCATGGTGGTTTGGACAGGGGTTTTTAGGAGTTCGAGTTCTGAAGGATCTCTTTTGGGCGGTCACAATACGGTTTGGAATGTCACTTAGTGAGTGGATAGGGGGCACCCCCTACCCTCCACTAGGCAACGCTTTGGAACTCCTGATTGGTACTTGTTCATTCTTTTACCCTTTTCACTCACACCCCTTTCTCCGATACGGTGGCTCACCACGGACGACAACGACGACACACAGAACTCGTGAACAACATCGAGCATCGAGCTGCGGCAAACGAATCAGGAGGCCTGCGAGTGGGCTTCGAGATTTGTTTAGACCATGCGATGGGGCAGCTGTGCTACTTGGCCGATCGCAGATATCGGACCGAACTGGCGAAATGGACCCCAGGTTACCTGTCACCTTATTAAGAAAGACATGTGGTGAGTAGCTGAGCTACGGGTCTCGTCACGCCGTGTGCTAGTTTTGCAGGGGAGGTGTCCTAGTCCTACGCTTGAAATGCCTTGAAGTCCGTGGCACAAGAGGTTGCTTGCGCCTCCCGACTTGGATTCCCGACCCAGGCAACAAGGACCTTCGGCCAGACGAGACCGTCGACGTCCAAGCGCCGCGTGACGATGAGCCGGCGCGTGGATGTGGGTCTTCAGGAGATGAGCATTGATGTGTATACGGTGCAGCCCCAAAAACCAACACAACCCATGGGAAGCCACGGTACCGGAAGATTGACCCACATGACATGGGGGTGGCTTCCAGAAGGTATCAGGGATCAAACATGATCAAACTAATTGCAGTAATTTTGGTATACAATAAACCTAGCTAATACAGTATACGTTTAAATACAATTAGACCATAAGGATATTTCGTATCATTTGGAGTTGTTTTCGTCACATTTGGAAGTTGGAATAGGTAGTTGGATGGGGGGTGAATGGGAAGGAGACCTCTGGTTTGTGGTGGTTTTCGTTTGAGCTGACAGAGGCTCAAGACGCATGTCAAATGACAGAAAGCGTTTTCTTAAGCAGTTTGCCCATGGTTCCACTTCCAAGAGCTTGCAAGTGCATCGTGGTGGGGACACTGGGAAACCAGCATCTGTGGTGAGTGCAGCTGTGGTGGGTGCAGCTGTGGTGAGTGAGAGGTCACGATACTTGGCTAGCTTAGCGAAAAGCAAAGCAGTGAAAACCACAGCGAAAGAATCTACAAACACTGTTGTTCACAGTGCCAGTGCATCTAGCTATGACCCCGCTGTTCTGATCAAATTTGACCTGACAAGTTTGCAAGCATTTTGCGCCCGTGCTTCCTTGACAGCGGGATCAGTTGAATCGTCGAGAAAGACAGCAAGGAAGAGACCTGGTTATGATAACAGGTTGCGCAGAATGAACGCCAAGGTTATCATGCGTATTATGCACCTAAGCTAAATACATTGTGATTGTCACAGAATGTTACAATGATCAGAGTCTTGAACCTTGAACCATGGAGCTCTTTTTTGCAGAATAAGGCACCACATGAATGGCAGGAACCGTTCACGAGTGCAGTCCATGTGGGACCGTGGTTGCAAATGTGGAGGGACATGTTTCACTGGGCTGAAGGATGCCAAAGACTTCCTACCATTCCTCGATTTATTCTGGAATTTACCCAAGCTCCAACAAGATGTGTATGTTTCGTTCTCAGCCGTCCTTTGCTCTTGGTGTCATTGTGCAGCAGCACCATGAACTTTGCTATTTCGAACTTGATTGAAACTTCCAAGCAATGACTACAGAGCTAAGTTGTATGAAGTTCTTCGAGCTGCAAAAGATGAATTGCAAAAGGTCTGGAACCTGGTCGGCGTTCGCATGCGGAGGAGCTGTGTAGCACAGGCTCTAGGAATCCATGAACGTCGCTTTTCGGAAACCGGGCGCGTTGATCGGCGCTACAAGTGCACTGGGGCGGCTCCTTGTTTGAACATCATGATCCATGATTTGACTTTAATATTCTTTCATAGCATTGCTGATGCCTCCATCAATTGTCTACAGTACATGGTTTGGATGTCTTGCGCCCAGGTTGCAACCAGAAGTGCTGGGAAAGGGAGACTTGTGGATGAATTTTTCTTGCAGATGTACGTCTACTGTAGCGGTGTGATGCCAGAGAAGCCCCTTTGACATGTAAGCCAGGTAGAATGAAATGCAATCACAATCAATGAACTTTTCCTTAGTCTCACCGGTAATTTGATGTGGGGCTGTTTGGGAGGTTCTGTAAAGCTCTCCTGAGGTTTCAACGGCGAGGGCAGAAAAGGACAAGAAGCAAAACCGACACTAACTTGCTGGTGGTTCTTGACAAAAAGAATGCTCCAGTCTCTCCCAGTGACTTGTTGGCGAGCAATTCTGTGGAGAACATATTTATGTTTGTTCCTTGATATTGGTTGTGTTTGTGGCATCCCTCTTATGCACTTTTCAGGACCAGAACAGTCTGATGACAGCGGTGATGATGGTGATGCCTTGACTTTTGCTGAAGAGCGATTGGAGGATGATGAAGAGTTGAAGTTGCATGCTCTTTCGAATCAGTTGACCTGGAAACGGTTGCTAGTTTGCAGGTTTGCTTCTGATAAAATGATTTGTTTGGCTTAGCACCCTCTTTTATTGGCACCTTTGCTGGCAGCACCTGTGGCCACAGGCTGATCGATACGTCACATGGCCTTTGCCTGGAGCAGCTTCCTTTTCGAAAGCTGCCACCTGGAAATATCAAAATGCTGTGGTTTCAATTTGGCCAAAAGTGTTCGTCATTTGGATGCAAGACTTGCTGTCAAATGGGTTCCAAGCTTTCCAGATTCCAGACACTTGTTATTGTGCCAAAGAAACTGTTACAGAATTGGGTCAGGTATGCAACCTTTTGGCGGCGCTATACTGAGAAGTGGAAATCAGTTCTGGGCTTCGCTGGCATCTCTGACCAGTTGGCATGCGACAACTGCTTTGAGTTCAAGCAGGCCTACAAGCAAGCCAGAGAACTTAGACTGAATATAGTCCAGCAAAACCAGCTGCTTAGAATACAAGCAGACCTACAAACAAACCAAAGACTTGGACCCACTGAACAATCGTTGAATTCAAGCAAACCCCACAAACAAACCGGAGAACTCTGAAGCAGCATCATTTTCCAAGCAGCAATGTGATGTTAGGTTTCAAGTTTCAAGGGGACATGTAGCTTTGCTGAGGATCTACAAGAGAAATACAATGCAGTTCGTGCGTACAAAGCGCATCTGGATGGAGTCAAGCAAGACCGGTCTTTAGAGCAGCATTTGATGGCAGCTGGGCTACTATTCATTGTTGCTCTCTCCAACACTTGAACACAAGTTTCAGACTAAACACTGTAAACCTGTTCTGTAGCAAGTGCCACACCTTTAGGCCCTTGATCCAAGAGGTGACCCAGAGACCACAATGTTGGTCTTCATTTGGGACTCTTGGCTGGGTTCAAGGATATGCATCTTTTTTCAATCAGTATCAGATGGGTGGATAGATGCAAAGAGAAGACATATGGAAATCCAAGGATGGAATGGATCAAGCCAAATGGTGTATCCCAAGATTGCGTGAGCACACCCTCACGAAGGAAATGGGCAAATTTCAGAGACCGCGGTTGAAATTACACGCTGTTTGGGTCAACTACTCTAAGACTATACGAAAAGGATGTATGTACCAAGACATTCACATGTTGAATCCTTTAAAAAGTGGGTCCTACAAATAAAGGACCTCTCCTCCACCACCACTCCGACCCAGGAAGTTGACCGCCATCATGCGCAAGCTCGATCTCAAGTCTTTTTCTCGGGACCAACACGGAGATCCAAGTCCACTACTTGCGGGCTG